TGAGCCATAGTGGCCGGCAGTGACAGCACCTGGCAGAAGGTATAAAATGCAGCCGAGCATGGGCAACAATGCACCAATTTGGAATGTCAGTTAATAACGACACTACTCCAGGTGGCAGCCACAAAAGTGGACAGGGCAAGGATTCTGGAGGCCCTAACTAACCTTTCAACACCCCCTAACGTGGCGGTGGCCGACTTGGCCGTCACGGTAGGTACTGCATCAAGCCAGGAGAAGATCCCGGACATTTGATGCGCAGCTGCTTTTGGGAAAAGCAGCCGGATGGTCCGAACCCCACCCCCGCGCCATCACAGGCGTCAGAGAGGTGTGGAAGCGGCGATCCCCCTGACCCAGCCGATTCGGCAAAAGGGGAAGAGACCCGGCCAGCCCGGCAAGCGGTCCCAGGGGTACGCTTCCGAAAAGGAGCAAAGCTGCCCAGGAGGAGCCCAAATCCGACGCCGAGGATGAGGAAGAGGAGGAGCTGAAGCTCACGCGGGCTGAGTGCGACGCGAAGCTTGGCATTCTGCTGGAGAAACTGCACAAGCAGATGCAGGATAAGCAGGTCCGCCAAATCAACAACCGCATGCGGGAAATGGTCACCGAGATGAGGAGACTCAAATCCTGCATCGAGCAGTCGGTCGAGAAGGCTGTGGTCTCGGAGAGCGTTTGCAGTAAATGCACCCAGGTCTCACCGGATGGGAAGTGTAGCGTGAACAAGGGGCAGCAGACGACTGCATTGAGGACGAAGAATCAGGCTGTCCAGACGGACCTGCGGCGGGGACAAAGCCAACCCGAGGGTGCGGTCGAAACCCTGGATCGCCCCGGGCAGGTCCAGCAACCAGCTCGTCCACCGCCAGCCCGGACCACCGCCCGGGCAGCAGCGCGCATGGAGCCGGAACATCGGCAAGAAGGCACGGCGAAGACCGCAGGGCCTGTTTCCGCTGTGACCTCGTGGAGCACGGTAGTAAAGAAGAAGAAGCCGTCTCGCAGAACACGACCCGATGCAGTGGTAGTGGAGGCAGCAGGGAAGACCTACAACGAGGTCTTGGCAATGGTCACGAGAAGAGACGACAACCAACTGTCTGACCTGGGAAGCGCCGTAAACAGGGTTCGCCGTACGGCAAAAGGAAACCTACTCCTGGAGGTGGCAAAAGGCAGCAAGGGAAGCGCCGAGTCCATGAGAGACAACATCTACCGAGTCCTTGGGGACGCGGCGGAAGTTCGGGCGCTGACCGAGGATTCGAAGGTCTGTGTCTTCGTAATAAGGGACCTCGACGCGATTACGTCGAAAAGCGAGATCGAAACGCCTTCACAAAGCAGTACCAGCTTAGTGAAGGGGCAGTTAAGGTCCGAAGCCTCCGCCCCGGATACGGAGACTCCAAAACAGCGGTGATCAGCCTGCCTTGCTCTATGGCCAGAGAGGTAAAAAAAAGAGGCGAGATCCGAATAGGATGGATGCAGTGCAGAGTGCGTGAGCGCGAGGGCCCTCCTCGATGCTTTAGATGCCTGGAACTGGGGCATATCGCCAGCAGATGTAAGAGCCTTGTGCATAGGAGCGACTGCTGCATCAGGTGCGGCGAAGCAGGACACATGGCAGCAAGAAGGAGCCGGTGCACCCCCCGGTAAGGGTGCTGGCGGCAGCGAGACCAACGGTCGATCCGGCAGCAGAAGCAGCCCGGTCGGAACTGGCGGTGAGGGCCCCCAAGGATGTCATGCAATTGATTCAGCTCAACCTGAATCATTGCAGGGCGGCGCAGGATTTGCTGCAGCAGACGGTCCGCGAGGTATCAGCTGATGTTGCTTTTTTGAGTGAACCCTACAGGGAGAGGGAAGGAGCGGGAGGGCCAGCGACCGCACCTGGCAAGGCGGCCCTTTGGCTATGCGGCGACAGGCGACTTCGGATGTCCTGCATCCGGGAAGCCGATGGCTTCGTGCGTGCAGAAGTCGGTGGCTTTTGGATGTACAGTTGCTACCTTGCGCCTAGCCTGCCGTTTGAGGCGTTTAGCAGGATTCTCGACGAACTTTGCTACGACTTGCGCGGTAGGGCGAACGTGATAGTTGGAGGCGACTTCAATGCCTGGGCCCAGGAGTGGGGATCCACAGCGACCAACGCCAGAGAACGGGTGGTGCTAGAGGCGTTCGCCTCGACGGATGTTGTCCTCCTGAACCACGGAGAGCGGCACACGTTTGTCAGAGCGGGGAGCTGCCTCGATCATTGACCTCACGTTTGCGAGCAGTGCAATCTCCCATAATGTCAAATGGGAGATTAGCGACGCATATACGGGGAGCCATCACGAGGCTATCCTCTGTTTGGTAGGGGAGTCCGAGAGTCCTCGCGCTGTGTTGAGACCCAACAAAGCATACCGACCGGATACGCTATGCACGCAGATATTCACGGACGCACTGGAGGGCATGTCAGCTGATGGATCAGTTGGAGCGAATGAGCTGGCGAACCAGACCGCTGCACTTATGGAATGTGCCTGCGACAGGAGCTGAGAGGGGCGTTTCGGAGGAACAAAAGGCCTATTTTCTGGTGGAGCGACACGATAGCCGACCTCCGGTCCACTTGCCTTCGCGCTCGGAGACGTATGACGCGGGCTCGAGGCTCGTCCAGAGTCGCCGAGTGCAGCGAGGCATTTAAAATGGCACGGAAGACTCTCAAAATTGCCATAAGGGACGCGAAGAGGGACAGCTTCCTGCGGCTCTGCGACGAAGCGGAAAACGACCCCTGGGGCGGAGCCTATAGACTGGTGGTCAAAGGACTGAAAGCGGGTAGCACGGCCCCTTCTGATCCGGAGACACTGGACGGCATAGTGCAAGCCCTATTCCCGAGGGGAGCACCGGTGACCCTGCAGAGCAGCGCTGTGAGTCATTCCAGCAACGCCTGGGCGGTTTCGGACGAAGAGGTGACCAGGATGGGACGGAGCGTACGCCCCAAAAAGGCGCCGGGGCCGGATGCAGTGCCTAACCGTGCGCTGAAGCTGGCCATCGCGTTGCACCCAACTGAGTTCGCCGGCCTATACTCAAGGTGCCTCGAGGAGGGTACCTTTCCAGAGAGGTGGAAGAGGCAAAGGCTTCTGCTGTTAGCCAAACCGGGCAAACCGCCTGGAGAGCCATCCTCGTATAGGCCAATCTGTCTTACCGACACCACGGGCAAGGTGCTCGAGAAAATAATAGCCGCAAGGCTACAGGCCCGCCATCGAGAGGGCCGGAGGCCTTTCGCCGAGCCAGTTCGGCTTCAGAAAAGGGAAGTCAACGCAGGACGAAATCGAGGCGGTGAAGGGAGACGGCAAGACGGATCTGCGATCGCTGGAAAGAGGTGGGAAGGCGGTTCCAAGAAATACTGTCTGGTGGTCACGCTGGACATTAGGAACGCCTTCAACACAGCGGCCTGGAATCGGACGCTGGAGTCCCTTGCAGCCCTCAACATTCCAGGATATCTGCTGGAGATTGTGAGAAGTTTCTTCAGTGAGAGGACTCTCGTCGTGGACACGAACACGGGGTCCAAAGCATACGTAGTCTCAGCCGGAGTCCCGCAGGGGTCCGTGCTGGGACCCCTGCTCTGGAACACCATGTACGACGGGGTCCTGCGACTCCCCGATGCCCAGCGACACCAAGATAGTTGGCTTCGCGGACGACATAGCCGTGGTTGTAGTCGCGAAGGAGCGGGCGGCTGCGGAGGAAAAAGCGAATGGGCGATCAGAGCAATCGAGGCGTGGCTCTCAAACGCTGGCCTGGAGTTAGCTGCGCACAAGACGGAGGCAGTCCTGATTTCGAGCAGGAAAAAAATCGAAACGGCGGAGGTCCTGGTCGGAGGAACGGCCATAAAATCCCAGAGGGCCATCAAATACCTGGGTGTCCTCCTCGATACAAGGCTGTTCTGCAAAAGAACACCTCCAGTACGCCCAAAAGAAGGCCAGTGGGACGGTTGGAGCACTTTCTCGGATGCTGCTGAACACCAGGGGACCTAAGCAGAGCACAAGGAGGCTGCTGACCAGCGTCATCACCTCCCAATTGCTGTACGCGGCACCAGTGTGGGCGGAGGCGGCTGGAAAAAAGTCGTATATGCGGGGTATCGAGTCAACCTATAGACTCTGTGCCATTCAGTGGCGAGCGCCTTCCGAACCATCTCGGACGACGCGGTGCTGGTGCTAGCAGGACTGGTCCCTCTGAAGGAGCTGATCCGCGAAAGGCGGACATTCGTGCCGTGCTCTGCGGCCAGCAGGAGCCGACACGGTCTCGAAGGCCGAGCTGAAAAGCGCGGCGAGAAAAAGGAGCTACGGAAGCTGGCAGGCCCGGTGGGATGCTTCGTCTAAAGGTCGCTGGACTCACAGGATGATCCCCAACATCGAGGCCTGGATGGAGCGGAAGCACGGACAGGTAGATTTTTTACCTGACCCAGGTGCTGAGCGGGCATGGATGCTTCCGTAGTTACCTCAAGAGGTTTGGCCATGACGCGGAGGAAGCTGCCCGGAATGTGGATCCGGGATAACAGAGGATGCAGCCCACGTCATCTTCGACTGCCGCCGGTTCGACGAGGAAAGGGACGAGCTGGAGGAGATAGCACGTGCAGCCATCAGTGTGGATTCGCTGGTGCCGCTGATGCTGGCGGACCCGAGGACATGGGAGGCGGCGGCAGAGTTCGCTGCCAAGCTGATGAGATCTCTCAGGGCCCTGGAGAGACCGAGGAAGGAGCAGACTGGCTGAGCGGCTTACCGATGTGCATTGCTTTGCGGCCGTTTCACCACAGTGAGGGCCACGGTTTCGTCCGCGAGAGAGGATGAGATAAAATTGCACACTATATACAGGGTGACAATAAATAACCCGGACAAACATTTTTGATCATGACTTTTTAAGGAACTGTATCTGAGAAAAAATGCAGATACACAACTATTAAACAGCTATTGTGTTAACATATATTCAGCCGGTTTCCAGTGACTTCCTTTGGGCTGCGATGCAGAGCCCTAAACGTTTCTGGAAATTTAGAGCAATGGGCCGCAGGTCTACTTCGATAATCGATCCCATTCTTGGAGCAATGATTGCTTCAGCGCCTCCAAACTTATGTGGCGTTTAGCACATGCCCTGGACTCCAAAGTAGACCATACACTGTAGTCCATCGGACTAAGATCTTGCGAGTAAGGTGGCCATTCACTGGATATGATAAAGTCCGGAAAATTGGCTTTGCACCAGTCCTGAGTCAATTTGGCTCTATGGGCTGGCGCTGAATCCTGTTGAAACGTCCACTCCGTATCGCCGAAGTGCTGCTGGTCCCAAGGAAGCACAACAGTTTCCAAAATGTCCCGGCGGTACACTTCCAGATTGATTTTGACCCCTTGATCGATGAAAATAAGGGGTATTTTGCCGGTGGCGCATATTCCTCCCCAAACCATTAAAGACTGCTCACATTGACGGCGCTCGATTATTGCAGATGTACCTGGAGCTTCAGCCGACCAGCTTCCGTCATTTTGGTGATTGTGCGCCTGTTCGATGGTGAATATCTTCTCGTCCGTGAAGGGAATACGCTCCCATTTTTGACCTGCGGCCCGACGCTTTAGCTGACGGCACATTTGGAGTCTCACGCGCTTATTGTCATCTCGGACGACGCGGTGCTGGTGCTAGCAGGACTGGTCCCTCTGAAGGAGCTGATCCGCGAGAAGGCGGACATTCGTGCCGTGCTCTGCGGCCAGCAGGGAGCCGACACGGTCTCGAAAGGCCGAGCTGAAAAGCGCGGCGAGAAAAAGAGCTACGGAAGCTGGCAGGCCCGGTGGGATGCTTCGTCTTAAGGTCGCTGGACTCACAGGATGATCCCCAACATCGAGGCCTGGATGGAGCGGAAGCACGGACAGGTAGATTTTTACCTGACCCAGGTGCTGAGCGGGCATGGATGCTTCCGTAGTTACCTCAAGAGGTTTGGCCATGACGCGGAGGAAAGCTGCCCGGAATGTGGATCCGGGATAACAGAGGATGCAGCCCACGTCATCTTCGACTGCCGCCGGTTCGACGAGGAAAGGGACGAGCTGGAGGCGATAGCACGTGCAGCCATCAGTGTGGATTCGCTGGTGCCGCTGATGCTGGCGGACCCGAGGACATGGGAGGCGGCGGCAGAGTTCGCTGCCAAGCTGATGAGATCTCTCAGGGCCCTGGAGAGACCGAGGAAGGAGCAGACTGGCTGAGCGGCTTACCGATGTGCGAAGCATTGCTTTGCGGCCGTTTCGCACAGTGAGGGCCACGGTTTCGTCCGCGAGAGAGGATGAGATAAAATTGCACACTATATACAGGGTGACAATAAATAACCCGGACAAACATTTTTGATCATAACTTTTTAAGGAACTGTATCTGAGAAAAAATGCAGATACACAACTATTAAATAGCTATTGTGTTAAGATATATTCAGCCGGTTTCCAAGTGACTTCCTTGGGCTGCGATGCAGAGCCCTAAACGTTTCTGGAAATTTAGAGCAATGGGCCGCAGGTCTACTTCCGATAATCGATCCCATTCTTGGAGCAATGATTGCTTCAGCGCCTCCAAACTTATGTGGCGTTTAGCACATGCCCTGGACTCCAAAGTAGACCATACACTGTAGTCCATCGGACTAAGATCTTGCGAGTAAGGTGGCCATTCACTGGATATGATAAAGTCCGGAAAATTGGCTTTGCACCAGTCCTGAGTCAATTTGGCTCTATGGGCTGGCGCTGAATCCTGTTGAAACGTCCACTCCGTATCGCCGAAGTGCTGCTGGTCCCAAGGAAGCACAACAGTTTCCAAAATGTCCCGCCGGTACACTTCCAGATTGATTTTGACCCCTTGATCGATGAAAATAAGGGGTATTTTGCCTGTGGCGCATATTCCTCCCAAACCATTAAAGACTGCTCACATTGACGGCGCTCGATTATTGCAGATGTACCTGGAGCTTCAGCCGACCAGCTTCCGTCATTTTGGTGATTGTGCGCCTGTTCGATGGTGAATATCTTCTCGTCCGTGAAGGGAATACGCTCCCCATTTTTGACCTGCGGCCCGACGCTTTAGCTGACGGCACATTTGGAGTCTCACGCGCTTATTGTCATCCGTAAGAAGGTGCACTTTTTGGAGCTTGTAGGGCTTGAGATTAAGTTCATTTTTTTGCAATCAACCGAATACTTTCTCGATTCACTCCGATTTTACGGGCTATTTTTCTGACCGATACTCTGCAATTCCGAGTGATCCGCTTTTTCACGATCTGGCGAATTCTGGAAGTTTTAGCGGTGCAGGTCTGCCTCGTCCGGGTCGGTCACCTTCATGGCCAAGCTCATTAAATCGCAGGATAGCGTCAGAGACCGTTTGTTTAGGTATGCCAAGCAAACGATCAATGTCGCATTGATGATTTCCTTGTTGAAACAGTTTTAAAATTGCACAACGATTGTTAGACATACCGAAACAAATATCAAATTGATGGAAATAACAAAAATGTAAATATATTTGTTTTAGAAAAGTACAAGCTATATATAAATGCATTTATTTAAGGGCTACATCATAACACATTTATAATCGATTGCTTCAAAATTTGTCCGGGTTATTTATTGTCACCCTGTACTATAGTTGTAATTTTTATTTATAGTAAAAAATAAATAAATTATATACACAAAAAAAAAAAAAAAAAACAAGAAAGGAAGCTAACTTCGGCACGCCGAAGTTTGTATACCCTTGCAGATATTATTTCATTGTATTTTACCTATACTTATTATGTTGAGAGTTTGACAGTTACAGTTTTACATTCCCAGTTTTACATTTTCCCTACACCTACCGATCGGTTTATATGGCAGCTATATGATATAGTTGTCCGATTTTCATAAAATTTATACCAAAATTCTGAACTAATAAAATAAGCTTATATCTCAGAGTAGATAAAAATAGTTTGAAAAACAACGAAGTTATAATTTTTTTCTATTAATTTCCTGATCGTTCCTATGGCAGCTATATGATATAGTCGTCCTATTTCTATAAAATTTTACCAAAATTCAAAAATAATATAAAATGGTCATATGTAAAAAATAGTGCACATATGTTGAAAAACAGCTAAGTTATAATTTTTTTCTAAAAATTTATCGAACATTTGTATGGCAGCTATATGATATAGTCGTCCGATCCGGCCCGTTCCGACATATATAGCAGTGAGAGCATATAGCAGACTATATGCAAAGTTTCAATCAGATAGCTTTAAAACTGAGGGACTAGTTTGCGTAGAAGCAGACAGACAGACAGACGGACAGACAGACAGACAGACAGACGGACAGACGGACATGGCTAGATCGACTCGGCTGTTGATGCTGATCAAGAATATATGTACTTTATAGGGTCAGAAACGTCTCCTTCAATGCGTTGCAAACTTCTAACTGAAATTATAATACCCTGCAAGGGTATAAAAACACCCGGAGAGCAGAGAGTTATTCACCACGAACAAGTGGCCCCGGAGCCAGCGCCGTGCAAGAGCAAGAGAGAGAGGACATACGATCAATCACAAAACACCCCGGAAATTGGCACCCGCCAACGAGAGAGAGCGAGAGCGAAGACAATGCACCGCAATGTCGAGGAATGGAAAATTACCTGCGCGGCCGAAATTTGCCAAAACCGCATGGCATTTTTTCACTCTGGCAAACGTGAGGAAAGAACGTAGACGTGCGAGCGGACAAATTATTGAAAACTTTGGAAACGGGAGTTATGCGGCGGAGTTTGTGCGCAAACGAGTGAACATTGACACTGACAATTTTTGATATAACCCGAGACCAACCAGGAGGTGGTTCTCGACGGAAACAAGTGCTCCAGTGACCAGGGAGCCAACCAGCGGGAGTTGCTGCAGCCAGTGGCCAGCGAGCCCTTTCGACGAGCGAGGCAAACAGCGGCGGGGAGCCCGCAAACAAATTGAAGTCGTTGGCTGACGATTTCTGGAGGAGACCGGATCCCGGCAAGCGCGTGCCCAGCCCGGACCAGCGGCGGGACATTTGGAGATCGCGCGTGTGTGTGTGCGTGGAGTTTGAGACGGGTGAGTGATTAGGGTGAACCGCATTCTGGCCAGCGAGAACCACGTGCAATGAGAGATTTCTCAAAGGCCTCGATGCGGTATCACTTAGAGTAGGCTAGGAAATTAAAAAACAATGGCATAAATACTGACCTGCCCCAAACTTAACCTGAGAAAAATTTGTATAAATTAAGACCAAACCGAAAGTGAAATGAAAGCAAATAATAACAAGAAAGGAAGCTAACTTCGGCACGCCGAAGTTTGTATACCCTTGCAGATGGGTTTTCATATTTATATCAAAAATTATAATGCCGAAAACAGACACTAAACAGAGTTTCATTACATTTTACCTATACTTATTATGTTTACAGTTTGACAGTTACAGTTATACATTCCCAGCTTTACATTTTCTCTACATCTGCGGATCGCTTCTATGGCAGCTATATGATATACAAGTTGTCCGATTTTCATAATATTGTTACCAAAATTCTGAAATAATACTAAAAGCTCATGTACCAAAGTAGATTAAAATACGTTGAAAAACAACGAAGTTATAATTTTTTTCGATTAATTTCCCGATCGTTCCTATGGCAGCTATAAGATATATAGGTCCGATTTTCATAAAATTTTTAACCAAATTCTGGAATAATATAAAAAGGCTATATCTCAAAAAATTATGGAATAATATTGAAAAACAGCCAAGTTATAATTTTTTTCCCAAAAATGTATCGAACATTTGTATGGCAGCTATATGATATAGTCGTCCGATCCGGCCCGTTCCGACATACATAGCACTGAGAGTATATAGAAGACTAAATGCAAAGTTTCATTCAGATAGCTTTAAAACTGAGGGACTAGTTTGCGTAGAAACGGATAGACGGACAGTCGGACGGACAGACGGACAGACGGACATGGAAAGATCGACTCGGCTGTTGATGTTGATCAAGAATATATATACTTTATAGGGTCGGAGAGGTCTCCTTCACTGCGTTGCAAACTTCTGACTGAAATTATAATACCCTGCAAGGGTATAAAAATTTAAATACTTCTCTGAAATCCGATTCTAATAATACAAAAATGTATTTTTTTGAAATCTGAAATTCCTCTTGCTACCGCTATGTTTTATGCTCTTGACCTGTTCACACATGAACATGTAAATAGATAAGATGCATCTGTTAAGCATTAACTAAATCTCTGCCGCAGCGCACTGTACTTGTCTATCGTTAAGTAAACCCGCCACTTGGGTCTGGGTAATACAAGCAACCCGAAATATGACCTCCTGTGAGCGGTCTGGGTTTGTTCAAGATATGCGCTATCGGGTTGCCTGTGTGCACCCTTATCTCACTTAAAATACTTCACACGATCGGGAACTGTGCGATGCGTGGTTCTAGAACTAAGATCTACAATGTACATTCTCATGTTAGCTATATAAGCTAGGGTTTGAATGGAATAAAATCAGTTTCTTAGAAAAACTCAGCAAATGCAGACTTCTAATTTATTTGGGGTTTTTCATTTGGTCAATCGAGCCTTCGAAGAAATTTACTTCGATAACTCTGCAGTTTCGCCCTCTATGGT